TACTAATTCATCTATTTCAGAACTAAAATGAGCCTCTGAGATTATCTGGCCCCTTGCCCTAATTTTACAAGTGAGGAGGCCAGCTCAGTGAGGAAAGGGACATGTACTTGGTCACATAACTGTTAGAGGCCGAGCTGGATTTAAATGCAGGTCGTCCCCTGCCTCTCATTACTAAATAGATGGTAGAAATACAACTGGAAGAGCAAGGCCATCCAGGAGATCCGGGAGTCCTGGGGTCTTTGCTGGACTCTGTATGAGTGTGCAAGGACTTCCTTCTCTGGATGCTCTGGGTTTTCTCCCAACGAAGTCTCTACTACCATCCCTGCCATGACAGCGTTACATCCAAGAAAGAGGCTGATTCCCACCTCTCAGGCAGCCCCAAGGTCATAACTTAACCTGCATAATTAGAACGTCCATTCCAGAGGGGGGAAACATTTAAAAGATAGAGGACCTCTTTAAAACAGATACTTCCCAATACATTGTTTCCATAATTATAGTTTTAAGAACTTACAGTGAGGGTAGAGCTGGCTACTTAAGAAAAATTAGGAGTCTCATTTTGCAAGAAAGGATTTCCCAGGGGGCAATACACTGTCATTTTTAGCCCCCTCCTCCCCCCCACAAAGGAAACCCCCACACAGACAGCTACACGTCTGCCTGATGCATGGCAAGCCTGTTCCACTTATTATGGCCAAAGCCAGATATTTTAATTAAAAACACTACGTATGCCATTAAACGTGTTGTCCCCCCTTCCCCCATTCCCAAGACGTTATAGTTCGAGGAGATACAAACAAGTGAATGTGTTGCAGATGTACATGGAAACCACCGCCTACTGAGTCACAACCAGTGGGTTCCCAAATTCCAGCCCCTGAGCGCCTCCCCGTCAAAATGTTCTTTGCAAGCAAACAGTTCCCTCTGTAATTTTCACAGTTTATAGCAGTTGGCATGACTGAAGGAGGGCCATGGGAGAGCAGGAGAGAAATACACCACCACCTCACTTAATTTATGAGCAGATCCTATTATTTTATAAATAAGCTTTCTGACAAATAAAGTGCTATGGCCACACATGGGACTGTGCTTTCTTTGGTTGTTCCTTGTTCATGTTATTATTTATGTATTTATTTATTTATTTGACACAAAGTTTCCATTTTGGGGGGGGGTAATCACTTTCCAACTGTGAGGCCTCAATAGAGGCAACACTAGCTTAATTTATGCCATTGTAGGTGGTTCAAGTTTAACATTTCAGCCTGACTTGAACTGTCGCTAGCCAGACCATCTTTCTCCCCAGAGGAGCGCCAGCAGCTGGATTTCATTTTCGGCTGCCGGACCATCCCCAGGCCGTCCCGGAGCAGCCCTCGGACCGAGTGCCTTCACTTTCAGGATTTTATTCAAGGTGACAGCTCCTCACACGCTGGCACTCTGATCACCTAAAGTAGCCAAGCTATCAGGGGGATGAGCGGGCTCCTCCTGCAAAGTCCAAATTTAGATTGACTGAGGTTATCCTTCGGCCCCTTGACCCCAGTGGTCTGACAGAACAGGGCTGCCAGGAACTTTACAACGACAGTGCGTTTCTGAATGACGTCTGGGGAGAAACCTTCTCCAGGAGCAGGCGGAGAAGACCCCAAGTGATAGGGAGTGGTGTCAGCTCTCGTTAGAATGGCAGACAGCGTTAAAATAACCTTGGCATCATATGGCACTGGTATCTCTGTCAGCATCTCTGTTTTCTGTCACCACACACGATCCTGGGCCTGTCTCAAGCCCTGACAGTGTCTTTTCAGATCAGGTTATTACCAGCCCAGAGACTAGCTCTGCTCCCCACCACACAGCCCCTTTGTTTGAAGTCTGCCCTTTGTCATTAATGCACTTGAGGTCTATTTAAAACTGACGGTGAGTGTGGTATCTGTTTTCCCATCAAGAGACCATTGACAATATTAATACCTCATGTCCTTGCCTCATTTTCCAGGCTCTGACACCTCACTGCAGTCCCCTGCATGTATCAAAAAGTGCTCTCTCACCAGGATGTCTGTAAAGATTCTTGCTCCCAGGCCCAAAGGAACAGGGCAGCCTTTAAAAGGGACTTTTTATCATTGCCAGCCAGAAAGAAGGCCTGGGGAACATGGCTCAGACCTCATCACCTTCTTTCACATTAGGGCCCATGTTCCAAGCATATACAGCCTGTTTCCAGGATGGCACTTGCTGTCCAGGTTACATTTAGGTGAGACCTGGAGTTGCGAGTTACCATGGAGAGAGGGTAGAGCACAAAAATCCCATCCTGAATGCATTGGAAAGTTTACAAGAGAGAATGAATGCGCCCACTGGTGGGTGGTGTGTGTGTGTGTCTGCCTTTCGTTCTTTTACTTAAGAGAAAGACTATTCTTTATGATATCTGACAGCCCTATCCATTTCTTTTTATAAAAATTCATGCTGTTTTTATGCTGTAGAAGAAAATTAACATCCTCGGCCTCATTCCTCTGGTTTCTTGAGGCTGTATTTGAATCACTTATGTTTAAGAAAGCCCCTTGTGGATTTTCGGAAACATCTCAGGCACTCCCGCCCAGGCCCGTAGGGGATCCTGTTTCTGGACCTGATTTTGAACAGCCAAGCCTACAGAGTGGTCCTGGCATTGGTGACAACATTAGTTCAACCCCAGGTGCTACATAATTCAGCACAATAAAGGGAACAGATCACTGCCAACAGCCAAAAGAATCATTTAGGCCTGAAGAAGGGTCTCAGGGAGGTTCCATCCAAGTTCAGTGTTTCCAGGCACCAGACCAAAATCCAAAGACAGTAATTGAGGATCGGGGGATGTGGGGGGGCCATGAAACAGCATGACCAAGGCGGAAGTGTGGTCCACAGCAAACTTGCTCATGGGACCGTGGCAGGAAATAGAAGTAATGAGAGCAGGTCCTAGACCAGTTCTGAGGCCCTGGGACCATGTCAAATAGGAGAGCCCTATTGCTAAACTCTCAGAGATTCTGTGACCACAGCAATTCCCAACTTTTCCCCAAGTCATCTACACCAGGGAGCATCTGCTCTGGCCTCAAAAGTTTCAAAGAGCCATTTGTAATCCTTATTTAAGAATAAGGTTTAAAGTTCTGCAGTGCAGAGATATCTCTTGTACAATCACAAAAACAGTGACTACTTAGAACTTCTGATGTGAAGAACCTGGATAATCTTAAGTGCTAGTGTATCCCAAATGAAAAATAGATGGTGATTGTTGGTTTCCTACTAACAAACTGATGAGGGGAGGGGGGAATCATTCATGTAGACAGCTATTTTTATAGGCAGGTTTGTGGTTCATGAATTAATGTTTTGTGGACATTTATTTTCTTTGTTTTCTTTATTTCCTGGTTATGCATGCATCAGAGACTCAAGTGCTATTAGTTGTCGCGTCCCGCACGACATGAGCAGTGGGAGAATGAGAGGGGGCGGCGAAGGGTTAAGAAATAAAAGGAACAGCAGTCAAGAGTTAAATGAGTGTGGGGCCAAGGGTCTCCAGCCTCATGGACTAAGAGCCCCGAATCGGGCCAACACGCCGCTTTTATTTCTCCACCTACCTGGAAGTAGCATTGTTCTCTCCACAATCTGTGAGTCTCATTCCTGAGAATTTGCTAAAGCCAAATTACTCATGCCTGCAAGCTGCTATTACCGAGAGTCCGCCTGCAGCGATAAGACAGATGCTCTGCCTTCACACACCCTATATGCAAACAACCCCAGGAAGATAAAATTATTGTGCTGAGGACGATACTATCACACCATCAGGTCACTTTCCAAGCAGGTCGAGGGAAGGAATGTAGCTACAGAGGTAGAAAACCTCCAGTCTTTTTGGGGGGCGAGTGAGGGCTCATGCCCACCTCCATCAGCCCCGAGATTTCTCCTAATGGCCTCCACCCGACCGTGCCTGTCTTAGGTTGTTCCTCCCACGAGGAATCTTACCCGTCATTGACTAACCGGCCATCCTTTGGAGCCAAACAGGGAGATGCTAGGTGTATGAGCACTGTCCTCAAAAGGGTCAGTTTAGGGTTAAGCACAGGGCGGGGTGGGGGTGTGGGGGGGAAAGACGGCTGCACAGCTGCGTGGCAACAATTAATAATAAGACAATCCTGTGAAGCTGAATTTTAAGTTCTCTAAAGTTAGAAGAAAATACAAGATGATAAAAATCAAATTGTAGTTGTAAATATTTCCTTGGAAACACTTATTTTTCCTTAATAATCCTACAAAGCTTCTATACTAACCATGGCGAGTCAGTTCTTATGGATATTTAAAATAAATGTTGAGTTGATTAAAAGGTTTGACCCTATTCTAGGGGTATTTTTCATAGTTCAGTCATCCTACAATTTTCTTGAATGAGAAGAAAGCTATATATGGAGCCACGAAATTAGTTAAAACTGAAGATGAAAATCAAATGCATTTCAACCTGAGCCTACAGTTTAGGATACCTGTAAGAAGCAGCCATTTAATGTTGGAGGCTCTTATTACTTCCCATGTAGCATTTCGTCAACACTACCACTCTGCCTTCATCATCTGTTATGTGCCTGATGCCTCCTGGGAATGGGAAGATTCTTTCTGGACGTTAACAATATGGACTCATGATAAGGGACTTGAAAAGAGTTACATTCTGGGAAGGTTGTTATACATCCTTTGCTTGTGCTAGGCCCATGGTTAGACTCTTAATTTTTTACTTTTAGAAACTACTATGGGGACCCAGAGAGGAGAGAGGATTATGCTTTATTTTGAGGGGTAACTGGCCAAACAAGAAAAGTCTCTAAAATGTGGAAGATACATCATGCAGAAACTATGTTATTCCTAGGAGCCTGTGCTCTGGTGACATTTTATTTGAATGTCAACTCTGAGGACAAAAAGATAGGGTCCTTCCTTCTGGGACTTAATCCTTTTGCTGCCACCCGTGGGATTTATGCTTGTGTTGTGTTTCTGCTTTGCAGCATCTATGGGTCTTGGCTCTAATTGTGGTTTTGTAATGATGTGTTCCTTTTATTTTTCAGGTGTCCTGGGCAAGTGTCACTATGTTTACTACGGGAAAAACTCAGAGGGCAACAGGTTTATCCGAGATGACCAGCTCTGAAGGCAAGTTCTGTATGCCTTAGAGAATAAAAGAAAAAGGGAAGGCAAAAATAAAGAAAAAGCTAAAGGAAAGAAACAAAACAAAAAACAATGGTCCACACTGCATCTCTGTGTGAAGGCTATGACTTCAGCTTTTGGTACCTTCTGCTGACTTTGCCTGTCAACATCATCATTCTGCCGTAGACTGAGTGGTCACATAGAGATTGACATGATTGCCCTTAAGCAGGTCTCATCCACCAGGGTGACAGACAGCAGCGGTGAAGCACCAGGGCTGACAGGATGAACACCATGATAGATTGCCTGGCCCCTCCGCTGCTCACAGGGGAGCAGAGGTCACACCTGGGGCCTCCTGAACATGCGCAGTGGCTGGAGTCAAGCGAGAGAGGCTGTCTTCAGCTTGCCTATTGAGTAGGGATCCCTCCGATACCATTGTGCTGTGAGGTTATTTTTAGTGAAATAGTAGAGTTTAGAGGAAGCTCATTCTCTTTTATTTTTCTTAAATATTTATTTCTTATATTCGGCTTAGTCTCCCCACCCCCACCTTTAGCATTTTTATTTCAGGCAATGGATTTCAGTTTTCAGTTTTTTTGGAGAGCAAGAAGGTTTAAGTTCTCAGCCAGGCCAAACATTTATGGCTGACTTCATGTTGTTACAATTTCTGAATTGGAGCAAGTAGCTTTCCTAAATCTCTGTGTTCGTTTCTAAATCCACTTCTTGCCCTGAATACTAGACAGTGTCAGGCATCTTTCCCACCTCCAGGTTCTGGTTGTACCAGGGACATTCACTCATTCATTCATTCACTCACTCACTTTTAACCACACACACTTCCAGCCATGTCTATGGCCATATTTGTGTTTGGAGCTGCCTTGCTCCTTTGGGTGCTATTTAAAATCAATGAGGTGATAAAGGATAGAGTGGTGTGTCAGAAGTTAAAAAAAGAAGGGAATACTGTAGAAAACACCCACCAGACCACACAGTTTTTAATAGAAGGCACCAACCCTTTGAATTCGGTGCCTTTCTCAGGACCTCTCAGAAATGAAACCCATAGGTTGTGAGATAGCCTTTGTGTATCTTTGGCTGTATTCCAGCACTAATGTTTCAAAGAAAATAATCATTATCATACTGGTACTGTGGCTATAATGACATTTAATATATAGCCACACCAGTAAAATCACTCTAGAAGATATTTGAAAGGTTGGTTGCTCTTGACACTGTAGCATTGATATTTTTTTTTTTTAAGATTTTATGGGGGAATTGGGGGAGGGGAACAGATAAGTTGCTGTCCTTTTTTGTTCTTCAGTCTAGTTGTGGAGGACATTGCTTCACTGGCCCATGTTGGCACCATCATTGTGCTCTTCCTGGGTGAGGCAGTCGCT